GCGTCCGTTGCGTGGCGTTGGGCACAGCGGCGAGGAACTCCTGGGCGGTCTCCGACGTCGGGGTTCGCGTCGTCCCAGTGCGGCAGGCTCGTCGCAAAACACAACGCGGTCGGCGCCAGCTGCACCGCCACCGAACGCGGCGACGAAGTCGGCGTGCAGCAGCGCAAACTCGGAGAACGGAACGAACACGCGCACGTCTTCGTGCGACGCCACGTGCCGCGCCACCGCAGCGACGTCGCCGGCCGCAAGGCCCGCCACGAACACGTCGCCCGCCTCCGGCAGGTGCTCCGCCAGCGCGTCGCCGCCGGCCAGCAGCGTCGCGGACCGCAGCGACCCGCCAAACGTCACCAGCGACCGCCGCCGCCTCCTCGCCGCGGACCACCGCGTGCGCCGCGCGGACACCCGTGTCCCGGAGGTACTCCGCCAGCACGAAGAACTGCTGCTCCAGCGTCGGCAACTGGTAGATCACGTGCCGGCGGAACCTGTTCAGCCGCGGCTCGAGCTGCAGCGGGTCGAGGAAGAACACACCCTCCACGTCCAGCATCGCCTCCGTCACAACGCCCACAACCCCATGAAGATGCCGTGATTGCATCTCCGACTGCAGAGCAGCACGGGCGCTCGCAAGAGCGGAGGGAAGAGAGGCCATGTTGATCTCAGCTTCATCCCACGAGGCTCTATGGCCTGCAGTTGCCAGAGCAACCCGGTGTTCAACTCGGCAAAGGCACGTTGTGCAACAACGCTGTCATTCATAAGAAACTCCACCCCAATAAACACCGGCGGCACGTTATGCGATGAACCGTAACAATCTGATGCAGGGAACGTCGTGAGGCCCTCCTCAATTGCCTGCGCTCGGTAGCCCTCCACGAACCGCTTCATGTACACCGCGCGGCCGCCCTGATTGCAGCGGCAGGCGGCGCCCCGTGCTGCAGCCTCGTCTTCGCACTCGCCACCGTATTCGCCAATCACAAGCTCGTCGATCAAATAACGGCGTTGTTTGAAGAGAGACGCCATGAACGACTTGCGGTCCCTCACCCCTCTACAGTTCCTCAGCGCCTGCGCCAGCACCTCGCCGGCAATCCACCCATCAACCATCAGCTCCCCGTCACCGTCATTGTTGAGGAAATAATCCGTGTCATTGTAGACCCTCTGCCCACTGTTCTTCAGGTAATCCCGCATCGCCGCCTGGAAGCGACGGATGACTTTGTGCCGTCTGTCCTTTGCCAGCGGGTTCGTCCCCGTCGTGATCACCTGCCCGGGCACAAACTTGACACCATCATCAGCCACGGCAGCACGCCACGCTTCCAAAAGAAATGGCTGCAGCACAATGGGAGCCAGCAGGTACGCGCCGGCGGTGCGCCTGTCCGCCAGCATCCTCTTAATGAATTTCTCGGTGTCGTCTATCGGCAAGCCAAGCATAATCACAGCCTGCGGCCGAGTCTCAGCAAACCGCTTCCACGCATCGTTGAACTCTTTAGGGTCGTCCTTGCCATCCGCAGATACCTTCACGGTGAAGACGCCGCAGAACTCGTAGCCCATCGCCGACAGCACATCTTGGGCCTGCCCATACTCGCTGTCGCCAAAAGAGGCACCCCGCGGATACATTAAGCCAAGCCGAAGCACCCGCAGCTGAGTCACGGCGTAGCGGAGAAGTGCCAGCAGCTCGGCCGCAGGGTCAGCGCGCACAAAGTACACGTTGGGGTTCCACCCATGCACCGCACTCGACCTAGTGAACGGGGCAAAAGAGACGAGGTCATAGCGAGACAAGACCGAACTCGCCCTCATCACGGGAGTATCACCGAACTGGCCCAGAAGAGTGAGAATGTCCTTTTCTTTCTCCATCGCGTCTTCCAGGACGGTGAGGTATTTGCCCAAATCAGTCTCCCTTTCGACAATCTCAACCCGAACGTCGCCCGCAGCCGTGGAGTTGTGCGCCCTCAGCGACGCATGCACGCCAGCGCAAAAAGCGATGGACATAGAGGTGAGTTGTTCAAGATCATTTCGCTTCATCAGCAGCACCTTCACTGGGGTGCCAGGAGCTATTGCCCCGACGGCTGCGTTGTGCGGGGGCAACGGAAGCAGCAGAAGGACGAGAAGGAGGAGGCACGGCGACGCCGC